AAGAACACATTTTAACTTGCATATGGTCAAATGAATTTATTCATGAGAAACAATTCCAATGGGTCTTAAATGTAGCGAGAAGAAATAATATATTTTTCATTCGAGCAAGAGAATTCATTTGAAATGAAAACAGAGTTGATTACATTTCATATAAACAAAAATTAAAGACAATGGTTTTGATGTTGTAAATAACAGCATACCTAATACTCTCTTTAAGTTATAACTGTCTACGTCTGATGGAAATTGGACATTTCAGTCCTTTTGAGATGAATGTTGACGTACAACAATTTTAATTTTGACAAAAGCAATGGTTGGCATAAGGACATCAGATTGCTAAAAATATTAATAAGATACACATGCACAGTCAACTATACAGTATTATTCTTTGTAATAGAAAGCTGTGGGGTATTTATAATGCAAATGATAAGACTAAGGGTACATGAAAGAAGAAAGGACTTTTAAAAATAGACTAATATAAAGCTTATTCATATACATACATCATATAAAACTCTGTCATCCACATATATATAGTCAGTAAATTCTCACTGCACTAAATATGAATAAAAAAAGCTCTGCATAATAGACAATGCTAATATCAAAAACTGCATTTTTCAAATTGCCATTATTTGATTTCAGATTATAAAGGATCAAACGGATTGCTTGAAAGCCCATTTTCAATCTCTTCATTCTTCAAGAACACCTGCTACCTGTTATTTTTTATATTTCTCTTATTACATTATTATTTAGCAAATAGAATTACAAACAAGCATTGTACAGATGGCTCTTTAACATCTGTCTTTAGTGATGATCACTCTCCACTATCTTTGGTTTGCTGATATAAACCTAGTTAATCCAACAATGACATATACTGCAGAACAAATTTGGCAGTAATAATAATTGAGATGTAGGTTGTATGAGAAGCAATTTGCTAATGTTCGTTCATGAAGTTTATGAATGAATCTCTATCTATGTAAGATTCTTGTGCCAAAATGAATCCCCCCTCCCCTAATAAACTTAAATTTCATGTTCTTTGAGCAAATGAAAGACAGTGACTAAGATGCCCCAGTAGCTCATTACTTTTGGATTTTCATATACTCTTTATAATATTCTTTGTAAAGCTACAGATTCTACCTCTACTTCTTCAAAAGACTTTGGTATGCTTTCAAGGGGAAACGACAGGTCTTTATTGCTTGATCTGATCTGGACGGAACTGCTCAGACATTAGCTTACTAGTCTACACAGTTCACAATACTAGACACATTGTACGGACTTCACAACTACACGGCTCACAAACACAGAGAGGGCGACATTTGTATACTGCTTGCATGTAACTTCAAAATTTCTTTGATCACATAAAGACATTAATATTCACACCAAACTCTATGCAGTTTGCATTATATACACTTTACATCCGATGAGCACTAATCAGAAAGCACATTCTAGAACAAACACGACACCATGGGTGTCAAATGTATAAATATATCCCTTTGTTTCAAAGTGTAATATATCTCTCATCAGAGCCAGGAGCTAGCTTCGGAGTAATTATATGCGACTGCTAGTCTTGGTTGCACATATTACAGACCTGCCAACCAGTACGATTTAGTCGTATTTAGTACGATTTTTAGAACCAAATACGACAGTACGATTTTCCTTAATAAAATACGATTTTCGAAAAAAACAAAAAAAATTATTAATATTTTGTGTGTGCGTCAGCCATTTTCAATGGCAAAATGTCCATTCTGTCCTTTAAAGTATCCTACAAGCATCTCACATCAGCAATTTTGGGATGTTTATTGGTTCATCGAACACACCAGTCGTGACGAAATAATGCATATTCAACCAATGATCAATAAAAAAAATTCTTCCTGTAGGTAGAAACTGTAAGAGGCATTGATCCGCGTAACAATCCGTGTTTATTTCCAAGAATACAACTTTTGTCAGTAAAATACAACTTTTGGCACTAAAGAATACAGTTTTTGAACTCCAGAGGTTGGCAGGTCTGATATTATGTAGAACTGGCTAACTGTTCCGATGACTGGGAATGAGCTTACATCCCCTGCTAAAGATGTTTATTTGCTGAATGAATCAACTTCACAGCCTTCTACAATCCACAGGAATCAACCTTTTGAGGTGTAAAAGGCTATTGCATTCCATGAATAAGTTTTTATATACAAACAATCACACAAATCCTATATGTACCATTGCACACGTCATCAGGAGAAAGACTTGAACAATGACTTTGAGAAACAGCGTTACATGTTGTTTTTTTCTCTCCTCCTTCCTAATAGCTTGTCTTAAAATTCGCATGCCTATCTGAATTCCAATCCCCTCCTTTAAACAAAAAATCCAATGCAGATTATTTAGAGATTTATGCACATGAGAGAACATTTCAAATATCGATCTGATTTATGAAAGATGGATTATTTCCGGAACCATGGCAAGAGTTACCCATTGACTTGGTGAAGAAGTCTTAAAAGCTTCAAGGCTACATGTAGTGCTGCATGAGTGAATTCTTGTTCCGTTATAATAGCAGGGCTCTACACACATTTTTGTTCACACGGTAGGGTTGCCATTTTAGGGTCTGTATGTATGAGCCCCGTGTTAATTTTCAATTTTTGCAGATGCAAATAAAAAACACATTTTGAAATGTTGGTGTCCAGAGTGAAAATTTGGTGACCCCACCCCATAGCGTTGAGCCTTGTAAGCAAAAGTGAAGGTGTAAAAGAAGTACTTTGATATTGGAAAGTTTTGTGGCTCATGTTTTGAACTGGTGAGAAAATTGGATGGCTTAGCGTTTGAAAGAAGTAAAGACAACCTACACAGTATCTCAAGGCAGTGAGATTGCTTCGAATAATCGATCCTGGGGAGGTATATATGTACTAGGTGTTTGTGCTGAACAAAGAGCACTCAAGCCACAGATCATTTCACACATTATCTCTGTTTCTCTTTCACCTATAGTGAAAAAATAAGAGGTGGAGTGTTTTAATTTCTTTGGTTCTTTCTTTAACGAGGAAGAATTAGATCGTAAAGAATAGAGAAAAGTGAAAGTATTGACATGTATCACAATGGTTTTGGGGATTCCTCCTTATAAGTAATCTGGAATGAGGTAAAGTCTTCATAATATTCTTAACAGCCTCCAAAACATGACAATTCTATGAAAATACACTTATATTCAAATCTGTTGCAACCTTACCAATTCAAAAAGGTACACATTCATGATATGTTTTGTACTACTGAACATGCTCAACATAAATTGTGCTTGCTTTAGTCATATATGTGGTTACTGACAACAACCTAGTTAGTGAACATTATTATTGTAAATCATTTAAAATCATTAAAAGTAATTACAATATTATAAATGCATGTATCTTTTAAAAGACCTAAAAAATTGACTCCATGATGATATTTAAAGATAAAAGTTTGTACAAATACTTCTTACACCCTTACTTACGACTATCAGATTAACAGAATGTCTAAAAGCCGGTTTCACAAGACATCACGAGAAACCATAATACAATGACATGTCTCTTATTATAAATCTAAAGTATACAACCATCAAATATATACAAAAAATACACAACTTATTTGCCATTTCAGAAATCATCAGAAACGATCATATTACATGATTTATTTCATTTATACACAGCAATGAGTTCATTGAGTTGTCTTAAAATTGCACTGCATATCATCCTTTCTTCAGATGCAGTGTGCTTGTGACCTACTGGGTAACCTCCTCATCCATATTCAATGTATAATTTCCACATTACGTGTATTAATATTACCACATTCCCGTTTTTAGAACTGCATTTCCGATCGATTTCCATATATTTTGACAAGAAAGATCAACCTCATCAATCATTTAATTACAGGCAGAATCTGCCAGAGTTGCTTCATTCTATAGATATTCAGGAATCTGTTCCTGTACAAATTATGATCCCTGCCATTAAACCCTTTGCCTATGGGAAACAGGTAGATTCCTCTATGAGGCGTATGGGAAAGAGAGATTTCGGCAGTCAACTGGTTAAACATTTCCCAAAGAAGATTCTGAGAGTACCCTGTAGTACTTTAACAAATAAAAGTAGCAAATTGATCAGTACATAAAAGTCTGCTAGTACAGTTCACTTCCCTGTACAAGGGGATAATATTACCAAATATTGAGAAAAAAATGTACACATACTTTTCATTGCCATTTAATTGCTTTGATTACTTCAAAATTTTTAAATGGGGAGGGTTGCTAAACTAATAAAAGATCCCTCCCTTCTAAAAGTATGGAATAATTGATTGTGATTGATGTCTATAATGTATCTCCAAAATTTCTCCCATTTCAATAAAATTTAAATACTGAACAGGATCCTACTTCAGTTTTTCTATAGAATCTTCAATAAAAGTACTGCCATTATTATAACAATCACATACTTTACAGTATATACTACATACTACGGAAGCTCTGCTTGCATAATTAATAATCAATAGGTACCTTTATCCCTGCCTGAGCAAAGCACAACCTGTTCTTATTCTTGAATTATATGACACTTCTCTATATCTTCTTCAAACTTAAACCGACGAGGGGGAGTTCCTGGGGGCATTATCTTGTGGTTCATTTAGACCAGACTATTCATGAATTTACATCTATGATACTGCTTATAGAGATATAGAAACAATGGCAGCCCCTCCAAACCATCATCCCATTTGATTATTCAAAGAAAGTTCAGATTTGCTTTGGATTAAAACCATTTTGAGAACTGCCCTTAGTCATATAAGGGGCATTTTTAAAGTCATTGGATGCATTTACATTGTAAACTGTGGTGCCAGGTTGGGGGGGGGGCATGTTTTTAAATGTTGAAGTTTTACAGACTTTGAGCATTTTGTAAGACCCATCTGTTGTCCACCTGGACTTGCAGAGGATTGAATGCACGCACTATCAGAAGAACCTGCTATCAGGTGTATTTCTAAAAGTTACTCCAGTTACTCCCACCCCACCATCTTTAAACATTGAAATGGTTTTACAAGGTGTCTTATACATTGAGGTTAACATCTTGCATGTTGGCATTGCCATTGTTCTCTGTGACCTCGTCATAGGAAGGTGGAAAGCTGGTTCCGTTCTCACCGTGCGCATCCACCTTGATCATCTCCAGGTCTGGCACCTCCTCAACGACCTCATCGTTGCTCCTCAGGTGGGTCAGCCTGGGAGTGGTCAACATCGTCCAGCGCTGAAGATAATAACAAGAGAAAAAGAGAGAGGGAGAGATATATATTAAACAAGATGTATTAAAGCCCATCTGCACTAGTTTGGCTAGAAGGGATTAGACCACCCAGGAAGGTCACTGACAGGTGGTTATCTCATCAACTCAGTTCTCAATTAACATAAGAAAAAGAGGATCATGGGGGACCAATGGTCACCGATTAGGCATTGTTTTCTCTATGAGGGAGCAAGAAGCTACAAGTAGTACAGTGGGCCTTTAAACAAGATGTATTGAAACCTTTCATAAATCATTTTTAAGACTCTATTAGACATTTTCTGAGCATCCATCCGTAGTTAGTCCTGTTCCATAGTTCAAAACAAGGTCAAAATGGTGACCGATAAGAACCCCGGCCTGCTTTCCAGGAGTCACATACATAGAAATGTTTTCTTGCCTTGGGAAATAAGAGACACGTGACGTCAGTTATGAGATATCATATCTGGCTTACAAAGTATGTTGGGTGGCGCCTGCACATACAAGATCACTGATACTATGTTTATCAGCTCATGCTCCCTATCTTACCTTCAAGTACTGATGACTTGTAAGGGATATCTGCCATAGCTATATCAGTATGTTGATAGAGTCTGACATGAATGTATCAGGTATGTTGCACAGTGACTGGGTCTGATCGAGTGACTGGGTCTGAGATATGGTACCGGTATATGACGTTCTCATTCGAGCATGATAAACATCACACCTCTGCACATTTATAATGATTGCTTTTCAGACTTATAACTGATATGAAGAAACACTGGCCAAAATTGTAATTCATGTATCAGAGGGCCAACCCTTTATCTAACTCTAAATCTAATCTAAAACCCAATTACCCGGATCAAATATCAGATCGACCTCGATGCTTTGAGAGATCCCTTGCTGTTGGTTCAATTAGATAAGCTGATAGCAGAAGCATCACGAAAGACCGATAAATGGATGAGATCGAGGGTCAACCTTATACCTAACCCTAAACGTAACCTTAAACCTTATCTAACCCTAAACCTTATCTAACCCTTAACATTATCTAAACCTACATTACAACCCTATCCTTACATCTCTGACATACTACAGAAATATTGTCTCACCTCTTTGAGAGAACCCTTGCTGTTGAAGATGAGTTGATAGCAGAAGTAAGTCGGAGGGCAGATCATGGATGAAAGTGACATCATCCAGCCAATCATGTATCCCCACCAGGGGTACACATAAACATCATTGTACTTCAGAGGTTTGTATTCCACCAGACTGAAGATAAAAATAGCCTGGAAAGGAAGGGAATATCAAATAAGAAATGGAATTAGAAAGGTATGGCTTATTTACAGTTTACACATAGATAAACTTGTTTTCTAATGAAAATAGGTGGGAAGAGGGGAATATCCTATAAGAAAATTTAGGACTCCTCAATCCTCCCACTCTCTAACATGGTGCACCCGCAAGCCTACTGTATAAGAAAATTTAATTTTAAACTTGGGGGAGGGGGGGGGGGGGGAGAAAGACACAGTATCAAACACATCAAATATTTTGAACAGGTAAAAAAAAAGACTGTCCTTCAAAGAAAAGATAAATATACAAGAGTACTTTCGCGACTACTTCACGACTGCTGTTTGAACAACACTTACCATAGCAAAGCATGGAGTGGTTATCATCCAGGTTAGCCTCAGATATTGCCCACAGCAAAATAAAGCTCTGAAGTCATGCATTGTTTTGAAGTTCCCTATGAACCTGTCAGCACCTATACAAGTACAAAATAAAAGAGGATATATATATATATATATATATATATATATATATATATGGGTTGTGTTATTAATATGGAGGACATACAGGGGTCTGGCATATTTGTAAAAAATGTCAATGATATTTGGACATTTTTAATGACTGCTACCACCACGACATATTCAGGATTTGTTCATTTTATTGTAACTACTTACCCCACGTTTCAAACGTTGTATGCACTATTATAAATGTTGCCTTGTTTGAACAAAACTTTATGTAAAATAATCCACATATCTTTGATTTCAATGCATAAATTCCCGCATAACCAATCTTCTGTCATGGGAGGCAAGTGCTTCTAAAGAATTGTAATGATGTACAATATTTACCGGGAGCACCGGTAAATTTTGATTATTTAATTTGCTCAAAAGCATAATTGTTTTAGGGGCTAAATTTTTTAGTGCTTTTAATACATCCACAGGGGCATCCAAAATATCAACATTTTAAAGAATTAGTATCCATACAATTTCCCAAAACTTTGCAATATCTTTAAATAGCGCATAATTACCCCAGCTGTAGCTGAGCTGCCATGAAAGGGCGATAAAGCATTCAGGGAATATTTTCCTAACGGAGACCCATTTACTTCACTTGGGAGTGACAAAAGTTGATTAATGTCTTGCCAAAGGACATTAGTAATAACTTGTAATAATGAACTTTCTAAACTTAGTTGCACATGGGGGTTTAGTTTATGGGTTCTAGGACAACTATCCCCTGGATTACCAACCTGGATAAAGTACCTCCCATGTACCTCCTTGTAATGTGTGGTGTACAAAACTAACAAAGAGGTAGATTGTTTGGAGGAATTGCCATGCAAGTAGTTGTTTGTTTTTTTGTTTTTTTTGGGGGGGAGGGAGTTTTAGGTGTCGTGGTCAAGTGGTTAAGTCGCTGGAATGTCGATCACAAGGTCCGCAGTTCGAGACCCGCCGCGGCACTAATGTCCTTTGGCAAGACATTGATCTACATTTGCCACACTCAACCCAGGTGATGTAAATGGGTACCTGGCAGGAATTAATTCTTTGAAATGCTAGAGTGCCGCAATGGCAGTACAGCTAAAGCCTGGGTAATAATCTCCAAGTTTGGAAGCGCTTAGTGATTCTAATAAGCGCTATATAAAAACTGAGTATTATTATTGGGGTAAGTTGTTCTACAGGTGTTATAGTTGGGAAGGGTGGTAGTCCACAGGGGTATGTGGCTATTTTTCCTGATGCAAAGTTCATCTACTCACCATAAACCCATCCTATAGCAACGCTTTCAAAGAAGGATACAAAGAGAAGCGCAGCGCCGCTGGCTGAATAGTTGTCAAACAGCTGGAATACATACATTCCTCCCTGCAAAGAAAGGAAATGACAGGTAGCCAAGGTAAACATCAACATTAGTCCACATATCAATCATGCTAGCTTCCAGATAGCTATACCAGGCCACTAAACAGGAAAGAGGCATGACGGATCATGCCACAAGAACAACAGTCCAGATAACAGATTTTTACAACAGAGTTAAAACAAGAATAGTGTTTTGGATGCGCTGTTAAAAGTGAAACATTGTAATGTCTAGTTTGACATATTGTTTCATCTCATGAATTTGGAAATCTCAGGTTCAAAAAGGGCAATTACAACATTGTTTTAATTTGTTGACAGTTGATGACTATACTATAGTGATTTTTAAGAAAGAGCAACTTTACACAAATAAAGGCCCTTTCTATAAAGACAACCAATCATATGTTTTCATTTCTGTCTCAAGATATCTGAACTCTTTCCAAGAAATTAGGGGATGTGACCAACAGTCAATGCAATCAATATGACACCTATATTGCATGAGGGACAAAACCACTATGTAAGATCATGCTCCACTGGCAAGAACTCTACGGTCAAACCCTACACTAATTTAATTCTTAACATTAACCCCAGATTAAACACTCTACACACTAACCATAAACCTATATCTTTAAGCAAAATAAATCACTGAGTGATTGTCACCAGAGTTCATATTTATATTGGGGCAACCAATTCATCATTCAAGGTCTTAAAGTTGAAAAATTCAACATTTTGTTGTGTGATCGACTAACCATGCTTCCTTATAAGATTATACTGACATATCCCTGGGTATATAGGAAATCACTGAACCATTAAAGTAACTGATATATATGGTTTCCAATATGTCCAGGAAGTATCACTGTCAATGCACAATTAAAAACAGATTCTTTCAACACATACCCCAAAGTTGAAAGAACTTTGTACCAGGTTATTTACATTTGATATGCCCAGGTTCCCCTTAACTGAACGTTACTCCTTTAACAATTTTCACTCTCACCCTAAGATCTTTTTACCCTTCAGAGGCTATCAAAAGAAATTGCAACAAAACAATATGCAATCGTGAAGGGAAATTCAGAGGCTATTGGTCGCCCTGTGGTGGCTTTTTTAAGAGTCTTCAGAAAGTACCACCCTCAATCCAAGTGAATTTAAGATTTGCCTCACTCTCTATCACAAGCATCCCAACTTTTGCAACTATGGATTCATGAACAATCCTGAAATTTTATGACAAGTTCAAAACCCTGTTAAGCTTACTCCACAAACCACGCATACTCTCTACAGTCTCTGTTCTAAAGTTCTTGATACTCTTCACCCTTTGACTACTGAACATTCTCCCCGGCCCCCCACTACGTGAATGGAGGGATAACCATGCGTGTTCCCAAAATGTCCGGTAAAGGGATACTTTTCACAAATCCGGCTCGTAGTACACAAAAATCTGGCCCGTATTGACTTTACACACCGGACTTCGGGGGTGTTTTCAAAAGGAGGGAACATGCATATGCGTACCCTAAATAACACTGAGTGGGGGGGGGGGCGGGGCATTCTCATTCCTATAAGGTTAAATACAGGGGAAATCCGGGTTTCACATGAAATAATTAAGGTAGAAATAGTGATACTTACATATGTAACCATAGGTAAACCTGCTATACAGAAGCCGAGGCATGTGAAGAATGCAAAGTACTCTCTCCTGCTTCCTTTCAGCAAGTAGTTAGGGAAGAGATCGATGAACGCAGTCACAAAGCCTTCAACACCAACAAACTACATGTCAAAGAAAACAGAAAATAGTATAGAACTTGAGGTCCTCTGAAAAGTTAGGGAAGATATCGATGCAGTCACAAAGTATTTAACACCAGCAAACTAGATGTCAAATGAGTCACACAAAAAACTTGAGGGACTTTGAACAGATGTCACATATTTTTATCCCAACAATATAACTAAGATACCATTGCAGGGATGATAGGCATATAATAAAACTGGCTTAATTATTGCACACACACATAAGTGATTTCATTAGGTTAATATTGATTCTTATGCATTTCACTCTAACTAATTTCTTTAATTTGATACTGTTATCCCAGAATCATGCACATTATGAATACCTGGCAAGTTTGGACACTTGTGTGCTAGCAGAACCGTAAAGATATTTAAGGGAGTATCTAATACTGCAATCCATCATAGTTACAACAAACCTAGGCAAAACAACAAAGTCTAAGCAAGAGGCCTTAAGATTTCAAAATTTGCACTCTCAGTAAATTAATATTTTTAAATTGATATCATGGGCATTTAGAAACACTTTGTTTTTCTGCTTGGTTTATAAAATATCACTATGAATACAATTATGAAGTTCATTAATTTCTTTCAGCCCTAACAGGAACTTTATTTTGTCCTAAACTGGTAAGAAAGTTATACTTCGCAATACCCCCAAACTAATGTGATTTATAGAACACTCTTATTGATATCCCAAACTAATTTAATGGAATTATAGACTTATAGTTTCTGTGGACAGAGTAAATTTAGTAAGTAACATTAATTTGTCTTTAAATACTCCAAAGTTATTTAGCATTTACAAATTAAGGGTGACTTCTAGAGAATCAACGTGTCCCACTCAAAAGGTGTATCAATGAAGATTAATAATGCACAACTGCTTTAATAAACCACTAGGCATTTCGCAAGATGCAGACTTCGTTCAATCTTGAGTTAGGAAAATTAAGCAGCTGAAAAAATGACCAATTATCTAATGCTTTAGAAGTCAATCTTCTTGTAAATGATGACTTGTTCAATTGTGAACATGTAACCAATGCACAAACAATTTTGGTAATAAATGGCTCAACCATTTTTATTGGTAAAAGAATTATTCACAGAAATCTAGTGCTTTGGTAGCTTGCTTGTAAGCTAACTGTACCCTTTGAGGACTTTCTATTTGACAGATTACCTTGACTGTTTCCGTCCAGTTTTAATTGACAAACAGTAGGGCCCGTTAAAAGGGCGTATCCAAATTGGCCTAATCAGTTTTTAATATCATGTTCCTGATAAAGATCAGATTAGGACAGCAGATGTGACAGGATCGACTGCTTTTGATTTGATAAATGTACACACTGAGATCTTATTTGTCGGCAATGTGTTCAGGGTTACACCATGTAATTCTGTTACAGGAAGAAGAGCCTCAAAAGGGCTAGCAGGCTCCGTTAAGAGCTCTCTGATTCTACAGATATCTTGCTGACATTCTTTTACATATTGTGTATCATTCATGCAACAGGTTTGATTACTCCAATCAAACCAATTCATTTTTTTAAGGTGAATCAACCCTTCTTATAATACATCATAATTACATGAAATTTCTCTCCTTAAATCTACTGAAAATAAAAACTGATTTACACACAAGTATAACAATGATCATCAAACGAAAGTAAAAATGAAAATGGTCTATCTGTCATGATAGAAAGTAACACTATGAACATGACTGACAATGAAAGCAGACAAAATATACAGTTCCCCAGGTACACAAAGGAACATCCCTTCACTGCTATTATATAAAAATGTGTAGAACAGGTGTCACATGCATATTCACCTTTTTACATAATAGCAGTGAAGGGATGTTCCTTTGTCTACCTGAGGAACTGTATATTTTGTCCGCTTTCTTTGTTCGTCATATTCATAGTGTAATGACTTGCAAATAAAAAAAACTGATCTGTTGCCAACTTTTCATCCCATGACTATGACTATGGGAAACTGTTTATTATGCGCTTTATAAATATTGTATTATTATATTCAACAAACTGACACGTTTCATTATTTTCACAGAACAGATCATGCAGTATACAATATCAATCAAAACAAATTGACACCGACATTGACATTGAAGCTCTGTGGGGCACCCATAACCCATTTACTCTATAAATATACTTATTCAGATCTCCCAAATAAATGTTAACAATGTGTGCATTTGGGTGTATTCCAAATACAATTTGTTCATTGAATAAAGAGTCGTAACAATCGAAAGATGGACTTTGCTCATATCAAATAGAGTTTTATATTGTCACAAAGGTTAGAAAAATTGGGTATAACTTTTATCAACGGGCATTGCAAAACTAAAATTATCCCCACTCAGCACTATTGGGTTTGATCCACAGGTGGTAGCTAGGTCATGCCAACATTTAATGTTTCTTAAAAATTGATTGATTCACTGATTGACTAATTGATAGATTTACTAATTGATTGATCAATTTACTGAACTGATTGATGAATTGACTGATTGAATGGCTACTTGATTGATTGATTGATTGGTTGATCAATTAATGATTGAATGGCTACTTGATTAATTGATCAATTTACTGATTGAATGGCCAATTGATTGATTGATTGAGTGATCAATTTACTGATTGAATGGCTAATTGATTAATTGATTGATTGGTTATCTGTTTCTTTGATTGATTCTTTATTTTTGGGGCTGTCCATCAATGGGCACAAGAATGGCAGAGTCTGAATAATCTAGCATCTCGTCCATTTCATTGATACTGTCAACACGGTACTAATTGACACCATCATCTTTGATTCAAGGATGGCTCAATAAAGTTATCAGGAGCCAGATGATGCTAGCTGCTATATGCTCATGTTTGAACAAGAGGAGCACTCTGCACTAGTTTGGCCAGGAGGGATTAGACCTCCCTGCAAGGTCACTGACAGGTGGTTCTCTCATCAAATCAGCTCTCAATTAGCATCAGAAAAAGGGATCATGGGGGACCAACAGGCATCGTTTGCTATATAGAGGGCGCAAGTAGCTAATATTAGTGCAGTCCCGCTTTAAGAATTATTTTAATTATTTCTCTTTTTTTGGTTTGTGACTCAATTATCAATTACTCACCTGACTATCAATGCCCAGGATGATGAGCATGAAGAAGAAGAGGAAAGCCCAAAGTGGCGCGATGGGCATCTGGGATATACCCTCTGGATAGGCGATGAACACCAACCCTGGACCTAGACGTACCAAGGCACATTTGTGGGAGAACAAAGAAAGAGAGAAGATATACCGTCAGAATCTAGGTTGCGATTACTGCATTATAATGACACTAAAGCTTACAAGTACTGCAGGTTCTATCGATGAGTGGGGCAACAATTTAGATGTACATGATATTGAAGAAACTCTCTAATTGCTGACATTTACGAACACACGCTTTATTTGTGATAGGGTATACCTCTTGTAACGATGTACAAATGGCAGAGGTAAATATGGCAAATAACAGAATATAAAGCGTTTGAGGGAAGCTTGAGTTATAGGGTTAGAAGAATATGGAAGCATGCTCAGTCCAATTAGGCAGGAATGGATCGAGACGTTGGGTCCATGAAATGAAATGGTTAATGAGATGTGTAGTTGGTTTGAAATTATGGATAAGGATCATCCAATGTATGTAGTTAGGTCAGGATTAGAGTACAGGGATAATGAGGGGAGAAGAGCTAGGAGGGGAGAAGAGTAGGGGGAGGGGTGGATGAGACAGAAGGGATGGGGACTGGGTTGAGGGGAAATGGTTACTGGATCATTGCCATTTTCTAGAGGGGAAGGGTGGGGAGCGGAAAAGATTAAAAGGGGAGGGGGTGGAGCAGAAGAGATAGAAGGGGAGCGGAAGAGATTAAAAGGGGAGGGGGTGGAGCAGAAGAGTGGGAGTGGGGGAAGGGTTACAGGATCATTGCCATGTCTATCTCTGCCATCTTCACACTGAGCCTGTTGGTTCATGCAAGCTAGGTTACTACTAATGAAGCAAACATACACCAAAACAGACTATTCTCATAATTGTCAACATTGTTTTCACATTTATCCAGGTTGCATGATTGGATATGTAACCCTGGATGTTTCAAAATCATGCTCCACATTGGGAATGGAATGAAGGAATAGTTTGATCTTTCCTATGCAATTTCTTCTACAGACCCCCTTTCAATAAGTAAATGTACAAGCTAGGTTCTGTATAATCTCTAAAATTCTGGAGACAGTTTATACCCACAGAGAAAACAAATTCAGGCGCTATCTCTGGAAATATATATAACATTCTTTGTGTAAGGGATGTGAAGGCTTCAACCAATCACTCCATAATAAAGGCCCTGTTCTGTATGTAAAATACAATTTTTTAATGGAAAGTAAGCATTTTGACCTACATAATTATTGCTTTTTTGTTATTATAAGAATGAAAGATTGAAATTAAACTCCAACTGGACTGAGTGATTTTTTTCTGCTGGGTATCCCAAATGTTTGGTACGTACTATACATCCCACTTAATCCCCTAAATGGGAATGAATCCCTAATCCGTAGAAAGACCTATAAACCCATCCCACCCAAACCCCACCATGTCTAAAAGACAGCTTGACATCAGATATGACATCAGTATCTGTTTGATTAATCCCTGCATCACACCCCATTCAAGCAAAATGGGGACAAGTCCCGTATTTGTTTAAAGACCTTCCACAGTTTCCAAACCATTCATTTAATAATATATATCCACCACCCAACTATACCAAAATTAGTATATACATAGATCGATCCCCATCTGAGAATGCATTGCACGTTGATCAAATATAAAGCTGAATGTATCACACAGGTACATGCTTGCCAACACATGGAAACAGAGAGATGGTGAGAGCTTCAAACAAGGTGCACAAAGTGCTATTACAATCTATCAAATTAGGGAGAAATAACAAATGTCTTTGTCTTTTTCCTAGAGGGTCACAAACTATACAGCAAATATGAGGAATCACACTTGATAAGCATTTAATATCTTTGGTAATGATGAAAGAGTTTGCCTGGTGGAGTAATAATAAGGAGAAACTCTTCATGTAGCACATAAAACCTGACAGAACATCACCGTAATTCAATCTTAGCACTAGTCTTACCAGTATTATTAAAATGAGTGATGCGAAAGACACATTTTTATACAGAATTAAATGAGATGAATCGAAGAACAAATGATGCTTCAAACCATGAATGTAACTGTTCCTTAGTGCTAAACAGTGGTTTAAAAGCTGCTGATAAATGCAACTTATCATGATTGTTATCAAAGCTTTTGAAGAAACATTCCAAACTAAACAAAATTAACAATCGATAATGTAATAAAGTGAAGATACAGTTCTGCAATTTACTCTCCTCATCAACGATGACGTATACAATTAAATAAATTTATAATCATTACAAGTTCCATGGAGATAAACTATTATAATAGCATACTAGACATACCAGTTCTTCTTTTCTAACGTCATTTTTCTTTTGTAAATTATACATTCAATCATATTCTTAGTACCATTATCATACATATAATATATTCTCTGTTGAAAGTTGAAGTTCTCGGGAAACTTTTTGTATTTTTCCTCTAAATTTGACGGAGATGTCTCAGCTTCCATAAAGTGTGGCTACGTACTCACCACATACTTACCGGAGAAGGGGCTGAGAGCCGCAATAGGTACTTTTAACTATATGATACACACAAAACGAATGAATGCATAAAAAATATGCCACAAAGGGCATGCAGCAATGATCTATAACAATTTTAGGAATGGAAAACATTCCAATAAATCAGATTCCCTATCTTTTAATTTTCGGATGAAAGCTAGTCTTGTTTTATATGAAATTGCTAAATTTGAAGATTTCAAACCAGTTTTTATTGAGGCCAATTTGAGGCATGAAGCACAAAAACAGCAATAGCATATATTAGAAAGTATATGCTAATTGCTGATAAAAAGTAATGTGATGAAAGCAGAAAACATGGCTAATTCTTTTTGTTCCTCTTGTAATATCCTTTCAATTTCTGTAAGTATAATTGATTCAAGAGGATAGAGACACTAACTGAAAGATCCAATGACTGCATTAACTGATGACTCAATTTTATTTAAAGGTATAAGTTATATGTACACAAAATAGTCAAATTTTTCACCCAAAGTGTGCACATATATTTAGATAGGAAAAGGAAAAGGCAACAGTCTAATAAGATAAGTGACTTGTGTGAATGTGATTTTGGAAAACAAAAACGTGAGAGCTCCTTCCGAGTAAATCACATTTCATTTTTAACGTCTTTGATGCATACAAAATGACATTTGTATAGGTCATATACCAAATAGACCCATTTTTTTGTTTAATTCCGATCATATTTGTGAACTTAAAGCCATTTACTTTTATTTATTTCCTTTATTTTTTAATCAAACCAAAGTCTCATTGTATCAGTATAACAATTAAGTTGTCAAATGTCTACTTTGATTAAAATTCAGTCATCACAAATACAAATTTTCTTCTAAACTCAAAATCACTTTAATCTACAGCTTACAATTTGAAAAAAACACAGCAATCACATAAAAAACTTTGCAATGTGAAATGAGCATAACTGGTGTAATTTTGAATCTATTTATAACAGTTGTTTTAAAAAGAGAATTAAAAAGTCTTTCGTCCAAATGATATAATATTTATATTACTCCTTATCAATGAAAGCCCTTAAATAAAATGTATGGGAATGGAGTAAGACTTCCAACTAGTCATTCAAAAATATCTTAATCTATCCTCCCATTAATAAACAATTGTGAAAATCAACATTCTCTAATAACAAACCAACTAATTATGAAATACTTGCATGTGCCCTACAGGTTGTATACAATATTTGTAATTGTGTGAATTAAATGTATGAGGTGTGTATGTATGTTTGTACAAGTTTTGTCCTTCAAAACAATATATTTTCCATATTAATGTATAAAGAAGATATCATGGTCATACTAAATTATCTAATTCTAGTCTAGTCCATATTTAAATGGAATTAAAAGTATTCATAATGGATGAATGTGGTTTAATTTGTCTAACTTTATGAAAAATTAAAAAAAATATATATATGATCTTTCTCTACGCAGGGTGTAACATGGAAATTAAGATATCTTACACACAAAAAGAAAAAAAAATCCATGGGGTTTTAGTTTGGGCAGCAATGACGAAAAGGCAGGAATCAAACATCCTCTTGCCCTAGTCAAAAAAGTGAATGGGTAAACCCATTCAATAACCAAAAGTTCAATTTCTCAACTTGACTATTTCAAAACCAAAAACTTCTGTTGCTATGTTGAGGTTCCAAATGAACCCATTCAGTTTACCAAAATTCAATCCCGGGTGAAAATTGTCAACCAAAAGTTCTCAAGTGGGGCAGCATCTAGCAAGGCACTGTAAAAGTGTTCATCAAAAAAATCACTTCAACCACCAAAATGCAATCTCTCAAACAAACGTTTGCAAGATTTAAACCAGAATAATCCTGTCAGAAATATATTATCATGTATGAACCCCCCAAAAGGGGCTCCAAACTGGGCAAAAAGTAAGTAGGATGTGTTGATATGGTATTTGTGAGAATATGAGATGTACGTTTTGAGATGTAATAAGTGTGTGTATATATATATATATATATATATATATATATATATATATATATATATATGAGATACTGAGATATGTATTCATTGCATGCTTATGGACAGAATGCACATATAGGAGAAATGGTTCAAAATCAAGATTTTGTGTATTCCGTTATTAAAAATACATTGCAAACATGTTTAAATTGTTAGATTGAGTAGAGCAAGAGATGCAATAAGCATGTTATCATAAATATATTATGAAATAGATAATGGAAGCGCTTAGTGATTGTAATAAGCGCTATATAAAAACTGAGTATTATTATTATTATTATCTTTTAACAAGATTTAGCAAGATATTCTAAACTTATATTTGAAATTATAAAAAAATAAAAGTTATATGTGAGATAAGAAAGAAATGCCTTACAATTACTGTATAATTTAAAAGTATGATGTATCTTAAATTAAATGTGGTCAAATTTTATTATGTCAAACTTGCAGAAGAAAATATGACATAAAATAAAGCATAAGGATAGTTGTGTAAGCATACAAGTGTTTGATTTCTTTGTAATGAGGATATTAAATGCTCGTGATTTGATTGAGATTATGAATATTGATGTGATATGAATATATGTAACTCATTCTTAGCAGCGGTTGAAAGAAGAATTTCTTGCCATACTATGAGCATTTCCTCACTGGTGAAAGAAATGTCGGTACGTTTGTGAAAAACCATTGACATGAATGAGAGTTGTGTGATGGAATTTTGTAGGAGTTTATATTTGTGATCAGCTGCAACACCACATTTTTTCTCAATGAAATGTTGTGGCCAAGTGTATGACGAAAATCATTAATTTATATAAATGTATGTATATGTATGTATATATGTTCATGAAAAATGCAAAAAATAAAAATATGCAAGAAGTTCACGCCCATTAGCTAAAAAGCAGAAAACCGAGCAGAAGAGGTTGCTTAGTCCCTATAAGTCTCTACGAAAATACCTGACAGTGAGCTCTCTCTCTCTCTCTCCTCCTCCTCCTCCTCGTCCTCTGGTCCAGGGCGGGCGATGAATGAGAGATAGTCACTGTTTTTGCTTTATATATTTTGCTTGGTTCTGCTTTAAGAATTACCTGACGTTGCTACGTCTGCAACTTCAACCCCCTGCCTGCCAGCCATGAAGCCCAAAACGGAGAAAATCACAAAACCAGAGTACAGACTTGTGCCACTGTTTGTACAGGCGAAAATGACTGCATCCCTATATTCAAAGATGATTGGGAGTAGAGCATCAGATGAAGTTCAAATGGTAAAGAGATGGAAGTTCACAAACCCTTGTGACTGGTCATTCTGCAACATGATTCTCAAGTTATTTGAAATAGGTAATAAACAAGAACCACAATGGAGTGTTTGGGATTTTTTTAGATTTCTTTCTTCTATTTTTTTATCAATTTTGCTGCTATTTTATAGTTAGCTTTAGAAAAATTTGATGTTAAAACCCAAGAGAAATAAAATATTTTTAGCAGAATATTCCTTCACATCTGTGTCTTGAGTGTGTGAACTTCCCATAGTGATAACAGACTAGTTACATCCTAATCGATACATAAGGCCCTAACACTTCATGTAAGAATTTTGAGAAAGAAAGCCCCCATCAAGAAAAAACAATAAAAAATTAAGAAGAAAAAACTGGAAGAAGTAGAAAATGATGTTGTGTCCCTTATGTTTAAGCCCTAACTGTTCATAACCTAACCTAACCTAGCCACTGAGCCAACAAAGATTTTATTTGTGATTTACCTGACGAAATTGACATTAAATTTATTATAACTGCCAAGAGCAGCCATTGTGCCGAGACCAATTGAGTAGGAGAAGAAAATCTGGGTTGCAGCATCCATCCAAACCTGAAGAGAGAATGGAAGGGGGAAGAAAATCTATTATTGTGATACAAAAAAAATGAAGTTTAAAAAGTTGGGCCTTAGGGCAATATGCCATCAAAACTCCACAAAAGCACAGTGAATAATAATACAAGGACCTTGTAAATATATATTCTTTAAATACCGTAGTTTTTATTAAACACCGTTGATAAGCTAAGTTTGTCCAAGAGACAGCAAATGTGAAGAACAACTATCTGTGTTTCTTTTTTTCTTGTTCTATTACGGTAATTGGTTGTCAAAGAAACACACGTATGCCATGTTGAAGAAAATATATAACAGGGGAACAATTGTAACTCATTCATTTAAAAATCGTAAAATAAATGTTATCAAGAAAATGGCGATGCCCATGTCATGCTAAGAAACATTCAAACTGTACACTATTCTTGCTTTATGCCTCTCTCATACACTTTGGTGGGGAATCTTGTAGATTCATTGACAAGAATGTAATACATTTCTCAGAATAAGATACGGTAAGTTATTTCTAAGAGTGAGGTTTTCTTTAAAGCTATGACATCCACACAATTATCAGTGATCTGTCATGCATAGTTTTCAATTGGAGATCACATCTCTTAAACAAATATTTGAAGGAAAATGTTGAAATAATGATCTTGATTTTCATTCATGTAATACATTTCTCAGAATAAGATACAGTAAGTTATTTCTAAGAGTGAGGTTTTCTTTAACTCTTATCGTGCCAAGAACACTGTTCTGTGCATGCGCTGGCGTGCCACGCACACATAATCGGGTTTCTGTTGACTTGCCATGGACACATAAACTCTCATCCGCTCGCGTGCCACGGACACATTTTCGTGCATAAGTACACAAGCTAATTGTTTATGCCTATTGTGCGATGCGTATTGCGTGCACGCATGAATGCTTACTGTATTTGTGGAGGGGGTTTATTGTTGTTTTGATTTTGCGTGCTTCACGTATACCGTTACATTGGATTTTCCTGAGAAAATTGCGATATTTTATCATCAAATTTGTCAGTTTTGATCATGGCCCCTCAGATTGTGTGCGGGAAATGAGACAACGGATTGGTTTGACAACTCACTGATAGTGCTTATTTACTTTACCAAAATTACAGATTCATGAAATGATATTGGTATCAACAGAAAGAGGGTTAAATTTCCTACAACTTTAACGTACAATTCTTTTTTATACAATATACAGATGAGATGTTATAGTGGATCAAACATAATAACAATTTAAACTACACGCACTTGAACCAACCCTAAATTAACTTAGCACACAGGAGATTAGTAGCGGGCACAATAGGGATTAGCACTGTGGCACTGGATGAATTGCATAGGGGCAGCTTAAGAGTTAAAGCTATGACATCCACACAATTATCAGTGATCTGTCATGCATAGTTTTCAATTGGAGATCACATCTCTTAAACAAATATTTGAAGGAAAATGTTGAAATAATGATCTTGATTTTCATTCATCAAGGTCAACATAGATCAGCAGGATATCACATAAACAAGTACAGTATATTATTTGCATAGTGCATGATGAATGACATGAAGCACTGGTTCACGTATTTTGTTTAAAATGAGTGCATGCAGCTTCCTTTCGATCTTTCCATGTACTTCAAGGTCAAAGACATGGGCCATGACTCTTTTATTCTTAAAATAAAATGCTATTTTCATGCTCTTATTTGTTCAATATGGAGGTGTAGAAGATTCTTTTTTGTACATTAACCAACAAGCAAATGTGGATTTGACAACTTTTTCATATTTGTTCAAATATATTCTGTTCCATACACAATGCAATACTAGTATGCATTATCATGCATGGCCTTGTTTTCCTACCTGGGAATCATTTTGTTCTGGACTGTAAAACTGTTTTAAATGTGTACTTGAAAAAATGCTCACCTTATATGATACCAATATGAGTTTACTTATTACTTTTTTTTACAACTACTCAAACTTGTAAATTCATAATTTAATATTTCTTGATATTTATGAGATTTAAACCTTGTCATAAATGTTTTGGACTCTTTGGAAAAAAAGTAACTCGACAATTACCATGGTGATATAAGCCCACAGCCCAATAGCACTAGCTACAATTTCATTAATCATTCATATTTTTCTAAGTGTCATTCACATTCTTCAGTGGAAGATTTATTGCGTACTACCTTCGAGCAAACAAAAGAGAGCAATTTTACATGCAGGAGATGGGGACCCTAGCCTGTAACGGGTCAACATCTATGTGAGCGAGCTCTCCCAATGTGAGATGCACAATGGAATTCTGTTAGGGGATATCCTATATAATCCCCCTTGTGTCAGCCTACATCTTATGTCTTATCTCCTAGAAGTAGTTAAGATGCATAGAAGTGTTGCAACCCCATACCGACTGGGTTGAAATATGTTTATTTCCCTCATTAAACAAAAATAGTAAACATGTGGAATTTGAATTTAACTGTAAATCTTGGTTATAACTGGTTGATATAGTGGGTGGATGGTGGGATTGTATCTTGTAGGATTTTGTATAAATCATGAGAGGCTAATTTTCATCGCATCTCTCAAAATTTGGATAGTGAATGGTATCTTTACCAGCCCTTTCATTGAGAGAAATATGTGTAGCTGCATAAAAGTGAAAGTTCAGATAACAAAATGTTGTTCTTAAAATGAACTTCCTTCCAAATGTTTTTCTTCAAGTGAACTTCCTTTAAAATAAGTAGCTGCAGCAAGCCCAGACAGCTCAGAACACAAACTTCAGGTCAAATGTTTATATAGTTCCCTATTCACATTTGCGAGCACTTTTGCTTTATGTCATGCTTGTTTCCTACATCTGCAGGGTAATTGCACCAGAAAATTTTAGGGTTATTGAACGATATGTCAAATGTCCTTTTCGATACATTACATGCCACAAAAAGATAAGAGCTAAACAGCTGTCATTCTAATTCATGAAAAAAAAAAGAATAGCATAAACCTACTCTAAAGTACACATCGAGGGACAGAATGATCAAGAGCGAGATAGAGGTATAGATATCCACACATACATACCTGACTGTCGGCAAGCCTTGAAATGTTTGGGTTCAAGTAGAAGTAAATACCATTGATGGCATCCGGTAACGTCACCGCCCGAATCATCAGAATGGTGAGCAGAACGTAAGGGAAGGTGGCAGTGAAGTACACGACCTGCATGAAAGTAGATTAAAGATGGATAATTCATTTATTTACTTATTCATTGATATATAATTATTCATTCATTCATTTATCCAATCCTATCCAAAAGATATTTGATATAGCGCCTTTTCCTTGCAGTTACAAAGCGCTGCACACACCGTTCCACAATCCTAACATTTATTAATTTATCTATTTGTTCATTATTCATTCATTCATTTATTCCGGCCGTTACCAGGCAAATAGTTAAAATGTGTACAAATTTAAATTAAGAAGAAAAAATATGAAATACCACCAATTAGTGCCCAGGTACATCACGGATATAGTGAAAAGAAAAATATTTCATTCTATAGTGGTGCATCACTTGTGATGGCATATATTCATGTTACCTATCAGGAGATGAAAATTTGTTAAAGTCTTATATGCATCTTTGAAGCAATCTTATAATGAGATAGCAGTTAGGTTGAGTGACGTTATTTAAGTTTTTATTTAATCATTGAAAAAGTTCAAATATCTATTGTATGTCTATATCTATATCTATATTATGCTCATTCATTATCCCCAAGATTGATTAGAATAATAATAATGAACCATTCTAGTTAGCGTATATCACAAAAATAAATTTGAGCATGTGCTCGTTATCATACGAGATACAAAGAGAAAGAAATCCTAACATATATCATTCCAGCTATTATTTATCAGAATCTCTGACATGCTGTTGATAATTCAGTTCAAGTTCAAAGTTCAAGTTTTATTTCAATTCATATCCATAAAAAATATATAAGATACAGATTTTATACAATATAGAAAACACAGAACACACACAAAATGGAAACAGGTCTACAAATATACTGGAATTATACAAAGTTAATCAGCAATAGAAATGAATTGGGAAAACTGCAAATAAAACCATTAGATTCTGTCGAGGCAGTCCCTGCAAGGTCTTCACTAAATAATATTTTTTTCCCCCATTTTTTTTCTTCATATCGCATCAACTAATTTCAAAGTGCAAATCTATATCAATCTACATACATCTATCAATTCCCTGAATGAATAGAGACCCCATTGAAGGATAAAAAGAAAGCAGGTACCCATTTTTGAGGGTCAGAGCTCAGCCAAACAATTTTATCTGCTCAGGTTCCCACGAACAGAAATGAAGCTTACAATACTTGAAATATTGCTTTTGTAGTCAGGAATGTGAAAATGTATGGGACTTTTCAATATACAATGCATGAAATATAGCAAATGAAATGTATGTGGGTCTTTTGAATACAATTCATCCCATAGCTCCCTACTTTGTACCTTCCTTACATTTTACTTTTATCAAGATGTTCTCTCTCATATATATATATATATCAAAGGCTACTGAAATTCTTAAATATTAATAATAATACAAATTAGATCAATTTATATAGCGCAGCTACTATATAAACACTCTACCCATACTGGGTATCTTACAAGCCCACCATCTTATTACACTCACACACATTTCCTCTCAAATTTGTTTGTCTCAAGTCAATTGGAGTTTTTGTGTGCGTGTTCATCTTCCTTTTGAATTAATTGTATGGCTTCACTTGATATAGGATACATTTTGTTTTCTTTTCCATTAAAATACGAGTTTCATATCAACTGAAACTGAAACAAGGCTATTTTTTAAAAACATTTTTGTTAATCAACTCAGATATATCTACCGATAATGTATGCAAAATTGTTTGCATGTGCATAGGATATCGGCAGCTGAAGTTTACACCTAAAATTCAAATTGTTAATTAATTTCTTGGAAAAGTTTAGTTTCAGAGATAATCTTTCTACTCAAATTTCTTAAGGATAATCTGAACAGGGAATTGAGATGTAACCAAGTCAAGTCAAGTCACATCAGCATACATGTACGTGACCATTCACATTTTGAACATGGCACAAGTACAGTGCATTTATCAATAACGCACGTGTTGATGAATGTTAGATTCAACAAACAGGAGGGTGTTCACTTACACTGCAGTTGACAGAACTTGAAGGTGATCAAAGAAAGCCAGAGAGCATGATGTTCTTCATCAGATATCTCATTATTAGGCCTTTACTCTTTAGGGGAAGTCAAATAATGCTTTCTCTTATACTGTTTTGGTTGTTGTTGTTGGTTTTTAAAAGAAATCAGAACAGTAAAAAGGTCAATAACATATGTTTGCATCTCGAGGCAAATTAATATTGTCTCCTTGAAAACTTTTAAACCTGGGTGAGACTGGGTGAGATGCAAACAAAGACCTATAAATAGGCAGGGGTGAGGTCAACTTGCTGATGAATAGAGAATACGATGATAGAATGATGAATAGAATGTTTGTTACCAGCACTCAACTGACCAGAACTGTACTGCAGTTAATGCAGATATAACCAAGAAGGTCGTCAACATCAAATTCCCTCAACCACATCTTTATCCTTCACCACAATAAGTTTGCTATTTTCTTCACTGGCAATTGAAATTAGAAGGGTGTATTATCTTGTATTAGACTATTCATCTATTCATCTATTCATCTTTTATTCTATTCATGTATTATTCTACTCTTTTCTCTATCCATTTATAAACCAGTTGACCGCACCCCTGGATATTTAGGTCTTTGTTCGCATGTTTTTCTTTTTACAGAGTTCTAAAAATTTACAAAGAGACAATATTTGGCTGGAGATGCAAACATGTTTTTATTGACCTTTACTGATCAGATTTCTTTTGAAAACCAGGAGATATGCTGATGACAAAGCAAGAATTATACCTATTTGGGAATTTATTCCCATTATTTACACTGGCTATTCAATACAACGGCTTAACCTGTTGACTACCGATTTCTCTCATGCTCATATGCTAAATACAGGGACCACGCAGTTCCAGTATGCAATAGCTTAATTTCCTCATCAATACTATAAGACTCAAACAGTTTGCTTTTTTTCTTCAAATCCATTGTCAAAAGATTACACAAAAGTTTGAAAAGTAAGCCTTCAGGGTTCCCAAAGAAGGGAATTGTATGGAAATCTGGCAGCCGAAAACCCTTTTTTATTTAATAGAACACAAGAATATCAACTATAGCTCATGTACTTATTCCAAATGTACTTTGATATTAGTTATCATTTTATGGATTTGTTTAATACAAGCAAATCAAGTATTTATTACTCATCAAATATTTGTAAAGAATAATGGCATAAGTATGCCATAAATATGAGTTTATTTTCTGCGCCATGGCTACATCCAGTTGAGTGAGAGCCAAAAAGTTCAGGAAAAAAAATGAATTCAAGAAGGAAGAAATGGACATGAACAACAATAAAAGAAAAGGCATGAAATAAAGTAAAGGTAAGTTGGTCAATGGAAGCCATAAAAAGTTCCTCAATTCTTAAAGTTTAAATTGACATACTGTACATGTACATCCATGTGTGCTCTGTATTTAACAAAATTCAAAATTAATTAAAAACAAAAACTAAATCACATTTCCAAAGATGCATTTTGTGAATCCGTTTTGATTAGACATTGTTATCAAATGTTTAATGTCATTGAATTCCCCTATCACTCAAAGATATTCCAATAGACCAAATGTATACCTGACTTAAGATTCAGGATACATGTACTAAAGCTCCAAAAGAAGAAAGGTTCATAAGACCAATTTATTTGTCCAGAGGACCTCCAGAGTCTCAAAATCCTTCTGCCACATTTGAGAAGAATTAGACTTAAAATGCTTTATATCACAGACAAATTGAGCATAGATATGAAGGATAAATACTTCATGGTTACTATGGTAACCGTTTCTATTTCTGGGAGAAAAATGTAGACCTTCTTAACAAAATATCTTAATAAACCTCTTCCATGATTTTTCTATTTCATCATCATGTACTCTTCTCTTCTCGTTCTCTTTTCTACTTTGAAAGATATCAAAACCCATACAGAAATTGAAGAGAATAAAGAAGAAAGACAGCACAAATATATAAGTTAATTGAACTAAAGACTTTCAATGTGTATTCAATGAGGCGTGTTGACACTGATGAGAAATGTAATAACCATACCTTATTTCATTTCTCATCAGTGTTGACATATCTTTAGTTCAAATAGTCATTCTTTAGTCTTTTTTCTTTAATCTCTTCAATTTCATCATCTTTAATAGGAGATTACCCGAGAAATTTCCAACTAATCAGCCTAATTAACGAAAGATATTCCAAAGAAACAGGTAGCTGTAAAAGATAGCCTCTAAGGTTTTGTTGACATGGTAACAACTGATAAGCAAACTGTAGGGAATTCAGCTCTGATGAGCATAATTCTATTTCGGGGAAAGCAAGGAACCATCTTGGGAACCTAATGAATCCCAGAACAGTCATCAGTGTGGCTTGACTTGTGGGTCTGTTGTTTTGATATCCGTATGTATGTGCATCCCGATATCAATTTGCTGACATGTTGTATCGGTTATAGGGAACATGAAGACTTCCAAATGCCACCGGGTGTAAAAGAATCGTGTAGCGAAACCAAGCCGCAGACAGCCTGCCTCATCCATGCTGTTCTGTATCTGTGCTTGTGGTGTCTTCCGATATGAATGGTTGATATTATGGAATTTACACCTCTCTGACCTCCTAACACTGCACGTAACCCTTAATCCACGTCTTTCCCCAAGAGCTGTCATCTCAAGAAGCAAGCATTATTGATATGGCAGTCCACGTCTTTCTTGCATGGAACTAGCCCATACGGCTTTGCCACCACCAACACCTGATATGTTGTTGATGCAAGGTTCAACTATGGAGCATGGTTTGACTTTGTATATCAACTACCTGAAAGGCCATCTTTAAAAGATCATATGGGTGCTACATTGATTCAAAGAAAAACTTTTACCCCCAAAGGATACACCCCCCAACATATATTGGATTTTGTTATGTGAAACAGTGGTACATGGAAGACTGTCAGAAGTCTAGACATTGAAGCTCTGGCAATGTTTGAATGGAATATGTCAATGTCTGTATTTGGATATGAAAAGTCAACAGGAGAGAGTGGTGTAACTACATGTATTAATATCATTTGGGAGGGAGGGGGGGGGGTCAAGAAAGCAAGGGGAAAAGTTAAAAGTAGATACATGTAAACAGGGAAAGAGAGAGGAGGAGAATGATCAGGCATACACAACTTATATAAATAATTGCATGTATTAATATCGTTTGGGAGGAGGGGGGGGGGGGGGCTTAAGTGGGGAAAAGGGGTTAAGAAAGCAAGGGGAAGAAATTTAAAGAAGTAGATAGGGAGAGAGAGAGAGAGAGAGAGAGAGAGAGAGGGAGAAAGAGAGAGAGAGTGAGAGTGAGAGAGATGTCAAAATATGGAGAAAAGAAAGAAATATCATCACATGATGATTTATCAGGCATATACAATTTTCTTTAAATAACTACAAGTATGTAGTTACGTATTTCAATATTTACAACCATAAATGTGTATTGCTGCAATATACTTTTTGCAACTATCTTATCTACAATCAGGTAATAACTTTGTTCAAATATTCCTACTTGAGTTTGATATGGGTTATATATACTTCTTATCTTAAGTGCTGCAAATGAACTAAGGTATACTAGTACTTTTCCAGATGGGAGGCAGATGGATATTAGCCAATTCCTTAGAGGAATAATACAGCGTGTCCACACACAAAAAAAATTATCCTAAAACTCTATAATGAAACATCGTATAAAGAATCATCGTATAAATTCCAGGGTGTCCACATACAAGAAACGTTGTATAAAGAATCATCGTATAAATTCCAGGGTGTCCACACACACAAGAAAGTAATCACAAAACTCTACAGCGAAAGTTGTATAGGTGCGCAGTTTGTTACTGCGGTCATGGAATGGAAGCGAAAATGAGAGGTCAGGTCTCCTTAATTCGCACAAGGTCACGTTAAGCCCCGTCCAGTTATACCGCTCTAGTTCGACTAGTTACGTCCACACACAACACATTCCGGGATTAGGCGTGATTAGGCGTACAAAGAGTTACGATCGATCCAAATCAATCGTAAGTCCTCCAATCAATCGCAAGTTTGCAGTCTCCTATCTCTTATGTACATAGTTACGATTGATATCAATCGCAAATAACTTACGATTGATATCAACTCTTTGTAAGACGGGGCCCAGGTCTCCTTTCGCACGAGGTCACGTTAAGCCCCGTCCAGTTATACCGCTCTAGTTCGACTAGTTACGTCCACACACAACACATTCCGTGATTAGGCATGATTAGTTTTTGAGTTCTAGTTCGAAACGATGCCCAAACCCGCGTTTCGTTATACAACTTATCATTAGTAAGCGTCCACACACACAATTTCATCATATAACTACCCCAAAACGGTATAACTAATCACGCCTAATCACGGAAAATGTTGTGTGTGAACACGGGGTTTAGTTGTGCTATTAAGACATGTTGTTAGATCATTAAAAGCAGGATCAGTGTGAAATAAAATATACATAAAGTGAGCTTCAAGGGTGGAAAAAAAATTGATAATGATAAAAACATGAGTATGTCATCAAGACCCATCATAAAAGTATCTTAAATTATGTTTAAAACAAATTTCAAAATGAATATAACCTGTAATGATCAAACTGTATTAAAGATAAAAGTGCTGATCACAGAAATTGCCTCTAAACATTGTTTACCTGGTGGGAATTAATTCTAAGTTTGAAGAATTTAAAGATACCTTTGTTTGTAGAAGTTTTCTGAAAGTTTAGTCATAAACTTTTTAATGATTTTCAATACATAGTGATTTATATGGTGTTACAATATGAGTATGTTTTCAGACTTGGCATGACTCTCATTTTTCAACCATAAATACAAACATGTTTTATAACAGTGTAAAACCAAGTTAATTACTGAGCTTGTAAACCTCTACTTGTGAAACTTCTTCAAATTTACTTCATCCGAAAAAATCTTTATTAGACTCATTGTTCGGTGGGAGAAACCATACATAATATCATTAAATTAATAACAACACACCTGACACCCTTCTAGCTTGGAACAGATGATTTATTAATTATTCAGTACATATGAATTTAAATAATTATGATAACAACAACAATAATGATAGAACTAATAATTACATTAATGATGATAACAACAACAACAATAATAATAATAGTTGGTTCTTGTATAGTGCTCATGTCTGTCGGACATAACACTCCTGGTGCTCCACAGTTATTACCCCAGCTCAAGCATGGCTGCCTTTATGGCACTCTAGCACTTCGAGGAATTAATTCCTGCCAGCTAGGTACCCATTTACATCACCTGGGTTGAGTGTGGCAAATGTCAATTAATGTCTTGCCACAGGACATTAGAGCTATAAAGCTAATAGCCTTGCTAGACCTTAACTTAATTCAGACCATTTGTGAAGTGAAAGGACAAAGTTGGATGTCAACTCATGTCCAAAAACTCCACAATTCGTCGCTGTTTTCACGAAGTGACGGTAGTGAAAAAAAATTGCATTCACTTTGCGTTACGATTTTCCTCACTACCGTCACTTCGTGAAAACAAGGACGAATTGATGCTTGGTGAAGTATGGGACATCGAGACAACCTTTTCACGACTTGTCTACCAATTTAAAAAAAAATGTTTTGTGATTTCCTTTTAAATACAAATTTGCTCTACGCGCAACATTAGACCGTCTTGCAAATTGCACACACACACACACAAATTTTCAATTTCACACTCATTGAACATTGCATGAATTTTTGGGGTAAATTTATGTGACCGTTCGCTTTAACAATGACATCTGTGGCTTTTCAGACAGATAATAATTTTCAACACATTTCAAGGCTTGTGGTTTGCATCATGATGATCCTAAACCTTTTTATTCCTACATGACTCCAACTACCTATTAACTCATTTTTTGGAACTTTTCCAAAATGATTGTTCAACCATGCTATCAGCCAAATGTATCCTCGTTATGGCCGGAACCGACTGGGCTATTCATTATCTTAAAAACTTTAAAAACTCTTTATCTGTAATGCTTATCCAAATTCACCCAAGCAAGAGTACATTATTTAAAAGCATGCAAAGACATAAATTCAATGGTAATTCAATACCTAAAAATAAAATCATGGTTGGATTATATCCAGGTAATGTTTGCACTTTCAAGGTGAAAGAGCAAAGTGAACTGCGTGATTCACTAGGCTGTTGAAACTACCTTAGGTTGCAATCATGTTCCACCTATTTTTCTCGGTGAACATTCCCTAAATGTATATTCTTTAAAAAAATCCTTTACAGTGCACATTCAATTTACACGTGCCGAATGATTTGGGAAAGTGAACTTTCCAATTAATTGAAGCAGTGCAAAGATGAGTTTGAAAACAATAAATAAAAAAGAGCATCAAAGACATCTTGCTCTATAATTTTTCTGTCATCTGGACATAAACAATACATTATTGAAAAGCAATGTAGTAGACCGAGCTTGTTGGAAATATACCTCCTTGTATACAAAGGAGCACATGAAAACAACATCAATGAATAAAGAAGTCAATTGCACCTGTACATTGTACAAATGTAGAAGAAATCATGCAGAAAGTGTGATTGAAAAGCAAATAAATAAATAAATAAATAACAAATATATAAGGATGAATGTTTCTAACAGATGTGAGCAGAGGAAAATGAATGGAAATGAGTATGACTGACAGAAAAATCCACAACTCAGTGATATTAAAACAATTCCACAGACATGGTGAAATTTACCTTTCCCGAACTCTTGACTCCTTTACAGATGCACAGGTAGATGAGGAGCCAGGAGAGAATCAAACAAAGCATGAGCTGCCAGTTCATCCCACCTAGATCATGGACACCATCGGATAAGTGGATCTGAAGCACCTTGCGTCTGTCAAGAAAAAAAAACATGGTACATTAGCTCAGTTTAATAAGATCCTTGATGAACCACTAGGGGAGGGGAGGGGAGGGGAATCCTAAAAGAATTTTAGCTTGAGAAAATGAGTTTTCATATGAGGTGTTAGTTCACTAATAAAATCTATGACACCCCAAGGATTTTCATAAAAACACAGTGAAGGAGGGGGGGGGGGGGGGGGAGGAGAGCCCCATTTTTTTAAAAGGATAATTTCATCTTTTTCAAATACATGTATGTAAAAATGTATTAGTTTCCTTTCTTTTAAACAATAATTGGGTTTTAAAAAAGATCAGATAGTGCACAAGATCCATATAAATTTTAGACCTGCACTGGAATGCAATTGATTATGATATAGTGCTTATAGAAGAAATTACAGACATTTCTCACCCGACAGAGGATACTCATGCTGGTACCACTTTTGTCACTATTTTCAGCTTTTCAACTTTTTCTTCTTCCTCATTGACTACCAACGTACTGTATGCATCTTTTTCAAATTTGTTAAAGAGCATACACTTGGGATTTAACCCCCCCCCCCAAAAAAAAAAGGGGGGGAATCAAATTCTGAGAATTAAAAAAGATTATTTTACCAAGAGAATTGACAGGGCATTTGGTGTACATGGATGAGGATATGAAAACAATCATGTACTGCAAATAAGTATAGACTGGATATCAACTGAACAAAGGAAAGGGCATTCAGTACACACAGAATTGAATATCAAGACAGATCCGGTAGTTGATACTTCATAGATAAATGAATCATTGAAAAATCATCAATCATTAAAAGAAATCAGCTGAGATAAGGTTTTCAAAGTCTAATTGTTAATCATATCTTTGCCCAAATTGGCTGACATGTGCTTTCTAAAAATTAGACAATTACCATTCACGTGAATGCACGCTGCTTTTCACATGTTAATTATGAAATATTAAAATGAGGAAAAAACAAAAGGTAAAATGCAAGAGAACTTGAAATCTAACAATTCCACAAAATTTCCACTATCAAAGTTTTCCACCTGACATCATAGTGATAGCTTTTGGCAATGAAAGATAAGTGGATGTCAATAGAATTCTTTGAAGAGTGCCATGTATGTAAACAGTGCAACAAATGTGAACCAACCATATAATCTACATGTAATTTGTGTTTTGGGGGGTAATTAATCATTTCCATCAACAAAACTATGTTTGTATGGCAATTGATACCAATCACATAAACTTGTTACTATCACTCTTTCCAGTTCATTTATCATTAAAAAAAACATAACAAACCAAAATATAATTTTTTTTTATTGACCACTTATGACTAATGTGTTGAGTTCTACTGTGCAATACAAGTATGTTTACAATGACCATGGCCTGAGACATAAACTCATGATAGCTCAAGTCACACGAACAAGATCAACTGACACCAGACAGAAAATAGATCAACTAAAAAAATAACATTGTCCGGAACATGGTCAATGTCTTCTTGATAATCGGTTGATTTGGAGTCGGTTAGTATGAGACAGGAAGAGTCAATCAGCCTTCACTACTTCCAAAATAGTTCACATGAATGATCAGTTAGGAACAGATCAATTATTTTTTCCTTCTCACTTCAAATATCAAAACCTACTTTTGCCAAGTATGTCAAATCCCCAATTATGATTTATATTCAGACTATCAGATTAATCCTGAATATATAATTATGGAAAGAATCTTCTGAAAAGAAAGCAAAATTGTCAAAGGCTCTACGATGAAAGAAAGAAATTTGTATTTGAACTGTCACTTTTCTTTCAGAGCCATGATGCAGTTTTAATAGTGGGATCTGCTTCTTTTTAAATAGAAAAGCTTGTCTTCATTTCCTTTTGAAATTCAAAACCCTAGTCAGAAATCATCAAACTCTGTCTGATTCAGGATGAAATAAACACCAAAATAGACACTTTAATTGAAATTTGACAAATAAATATTGAATCTGAGACAGGGTTTAGTAAACTTGATGTTAAGGAAATGCCATTTGCCATTTGTCTTATTATTGTTAAAACTGAAGAAAAAAAGAAGACAACTTTTATGTTTATTAACGACTTGATATAAAAATGTGATAAAAATATTAAAAACATAGTTATATTTCTATTGGTACAATAAATTATACATGTCACAGACTGCATCTTGAAATTATACTCATGTAACAGTCAAACAGAATAAAGGTCAAACATTTGGGATGGAAATCTACCAAAGATTATTCTTCAAATTTGTTTGATGATCACTTGCAAATACAATGCTCAAAGGTCACTAGCCATTTGGCAGCCTCATGACTCTTGTGTACACGATGCACATATCATACGAGGTTTAATGCAGTTTACTATCTATTTCAGGACACAGTATTGCCTATTAAAGGCAGTGTTATTATGTACATTACTACTTTATTTAAAAAATAAAACGCCCAGATATATCGTATCTGTTGTTTCTATGACCCAGAAGCTTTAAACCTATTTTAACTGAGACATTTACACTTTAATGGGTGGAGCATTGCATCATTGTATTGATCAATTTCTACTCTTTAGTACCGGGTATACAGAATATTAGCAGGGTTTACATGATAGGGGATTGGTCAAATTTTTAACAGCAGTACTACTTATCATTTCTTTCCTATGATGTAAAAGCTTTGAATTTTAATGTCTGTTCAAGTACCAGTAGTACTTTGTTATTCTTTCAATTGACAATTCATGTTACTGAGATTTTAATATGAAAGTCTACCAGATATAGATTTATTGTTTATTTTTAGCTTCATACATACATGGCTCATGTTAATGATGTTGGCGGCAACAATTGAAGAAAAAGTTTTAAAGAAAAATTAAAGTTATCTGTACAAAAGTTAGAAAGTACTTCTGTACACATGTACCTTACCCTTGTTTTCTATGATCCCATAGCTTAAAATATTTCATGTAATATTCAAGTAAAACTATTGCATCATGCGTTTCGTTAATCAAAATTCTCAACTTTGATACTAGTAAAAGAGATCCCCTCCCCATCCCCCCCCCCCCAAAAAGGTAAATAAATAAATAAATGTTCAATTAATGTGTAGACCTAGGAACTTCTATGCTACCTTTAATCAATACTCGTCTATAACAAAAACAACCAAATCCCTCCATTGCACTGTTGTGACAATTAACTGTTAATAAAACTATTAGGCTATCAATAAAAGTTCATCAAGTTTGTTTGGCCTTGAATGTGAATGAGCGAATCAGATGCTCATATCATATCCTGTAGACTTCATGGCTCCCATAGAGATTGAAGGGAGAAAAAAAACAGCTTGACCAAAGGTCAGGGCAGACATTTATCATGGCAAATACATTAATTAGTTAACTATCTTTAACTAGCTGAGAAGCTAGTGTTGACTCTGCAGACATTAATTAGTTAACTATCTTCAACTAGCTGAGAAGTGCTGAATCTGCAGATTATGAATTGTTTAAAGCGTAGTTTACAGGAGGGATTAGACCGCTCTGCAAAATCACTGGACAGGTGGTTATCTCATCAACTCAGCTCTCAGTTAACATAAGAACAAGAGGATCATGGGGGACCAATGGTCACCGATTAGGCATTGTTTGTTATATAGAGGGCGCAAGTAGCTACCAGTAGTGCAGTGAGCCTTTAAATGTACAAAGTCAGAGAAGCATGACTTTTCAAATGTACATTATATTCCTATTTTGGAGACCATAATCTCCACAGAAATTTAGGGTAGACACTTTATTTATAGTTATTTTGTTAGTGTAATGTTATCATACACAGAACTTTTTTCTTCATTTCTTTCAGAAGCCTAAAGTTAAGGAAAAATTTAATTTAAAATTATCTTGACCACCAGCTTTATAATCCTGGCACCATTTGTAAAATTTTAAATTCTCTTCTTAGAAATTTTCGTCACGCTTTTTCAATTTATGATTTATTTTTTTTAAAGGACATTATACTATATCACATTATCACTAATCAGAAGTTCTGTTATCATTATTATTGCTGTGGTTGTGGTTGTTGTTGTTGTTGTTGTTGTTGTTGTGTAAAAGAAAATGCCTACCCTGCTCTTCTTAGTTTCTAGAATATGCACAAAAAACTTTCTGAAAACAGTAGTCTACCAGAGAACTAGGAAAACCTGTTCCAATTAAAAGGGTCGAGTCATTCTATAATCTGTAAATATGAAATTTTCCATAAATTGTCTTCTCTCATTTCTGTGAAAACTCTTGGCTCCATAGCAGGCAATGATTCACAGTCATCATTGAGTATAAGATAATAAGTACTACAGGTAACTATACATGCAGTTTACAAAGGGTTAACTTAATCTAATTCAAGTAACATAACAAGGCTACTGCATAAAAATTGCACCGTAAACATTTTAGTTCCAGAACAAACATGTTAATGTTGTACAGGAACAAGACACAATCTGAGCGCATGTTACAGCACTCTGTTGATTGTGTGCTTAATCTCTTTGAGATAAAATGTGATATCTTTTATTACAGTATCTTCATGATATCAGTTGTTAACGACGGAACCGCATGATAATAATAGAACTGGCTGAAAAATGGGGTCCTGGCCAGGATTTTAGATTCAATTACTCCAATGACTCCAAGAGAAATAATAAACATTGTAGATAAATTAAAAAGTAATAAATGTAGTGTTTTTGACAGTGTTGATGTTAAGATGGTTAAAAGAGTTATACATTTGATCTGTTATCCATTATGTGCAATATTCAATTCTTCATTGGAAACTGGGATCGTACCAGATCAGATGAAAATTGCTCAAATTATACCTATATTTAAAAGTGGTACTAAAACTGATATGTCCAATTATAGTCCTATATCACTACTTCCAGTATTGTCTAAGATATTAAAAAGAGCTATGTATAATCGCTTATATTCCTTTTTGAATCTGCATAATATTTTGAATAATTCACAATTTGGTTTTCAAACAGGCCACTCCACATCCTCTGCTTTAGCTGATTTTACATGCCAAGTTTCTCAAGTTTTTGATAAATCGGAAGTCATGATGGGATTGTTTTTAGACCTCAGTAAAGGCTTTGATACTCTAGATCATAATATTATACTTGCAAAATTATTCAATTACTGAATATGTGGTGTGTTATTAAATTGGTTTAAGAGTTATTTATCAAACAGAAAACAATTTGTCAAAATTAAAGGTAATATTTCGTCTATACAAACAGTTGTATGTGGAGTGCCACAAGGCTCTATTTAAGGCCCGCTTTTATTTATTCTTTCTATTAATGACATGTGCAATATATCAAACAAACTAAAATATATCTTATTTGCAGACGACACCAGAGAGTTTATGTCTCATAAAAATATTCAAAGTTTACAACATGACTTTGGTAACGAAATAAACAAGCTATTACATTGGCTTTCTTTGAATAAATTAATTTTGAATGTTAATAAAACTAACTACATGGTATTTACAAAACAACAAAAAATAGATTTTAATGAGGTTGATCTTCAGGTGAATAATCATGAATTCCAACGTGTATCTGTAAACAAATTCCTCAGAATAGAAATTGATTCTAAACTTACATGGAATGAACACACTGGTGCTGTCTGCGACAAGTTCTCAAAAAATACTGGCATTCTAAACAAACTTAGATTTCTACCAAAATGTGTTTTAAGAATTTTATTTAATCCTTAATTCTTCCTCATTTATATTACTGTTCTGAAATATGGACCAATCTGAATAGGATACTCAAAATGTTAAAGAAAGCCATCCGGGTAATTTCAAATTCACACTACAGAGCTCATTCGAAACCTATATTTTATAAATTAAAGCTTCTCAATGTATTTGATATCTGCAAATATCATATTGCAGTCCTTATGTACTTGTGTCAAAATGAATCTTTACCATGTGCACTTCTAAAGTATTTTAATTTGAATTCGACTTTTCATGATTATGAATCTAGAAATGCATCTAATTTCAACTTACCACATTATATTAAAACAACTTTAATAAAAAAGTCGATATCTTTCGATGGTCCAAAAATTTGGAATTCCATTCCAATAAATATAAAAAATTGCAAAAGTCTTCAAACTTTTAAACGAAAATATAAAATGTATTCAATTGAATCTTACGTGCTATAACTCACCAGGCTCTTTACCCCCCCCCCCCCCTGTTTTCCATCATTTTTTCATGCTTCCAATCGTACAACATTTAATTTGCCTTTTATTTATATTATAATGAGGGATGGGCTCTAGCATAAGGACCATACTCCTTTTAAGCTCATCCCTTCACTCCCATTATGTTATGTTTTTTTGTTTTTTGTTGTTGTTGAATGTATGATATTTTATGTGTGATTATTCCGTATTTAATTGTATATGTTCTTGTATTTTTAATGATGAGTGTAAATAAACGAACTTGAACTTGAATTACATGTCTAAAAATGCTGAAAATTATATTCTCTAGCAAACAAATTATTTATTTTATCTCCCACAGTTATGTTGAGAACTTGGTTAGTTTAAATGCAGTTGTTGTTTGATTGTGAATATTTACATATATCAGGAGACTGTCATAAAGCTTTGATATATATTTTGTACACGTTACAAGAGTGAGGGGCCAAGACATGTGGCGTATGCCTGGCCTGATCTATTGCACATTGCGCATATTCACGGCATCCCTCCTGATTTGGGCGTGTTTTTCAGAATACAGATACTGTACGATGAATTAAAACGCAAATGACTGGATACTTACTCCCAGAACTCCACAGTGGCAGTTGTCCTGAGCGTTTCATTGGCGCACTCTGTCACATTCTGCAACATCCCACCGTCGGCAGTGGTCATGAGTTGGGTCGTCACGTCACTGGTCTGGTTGACGGCTTCGGGAACGAAGCAGCAGGGCGTGTTCCATACGTTGTCGCAGTGGGACCAGGGTAGTACGGAAGTGAAGGACATGAACATGTAGTAGAACGACCAGGCCATGATGATGATGTAGTAGGTGTTCAGGAACAGAAGGATGACCACACTGGCCAGACCAATGCCTAAAATCATGAAAGAGATTATAAGATGAAGCAAGGCAATATCTATTGCCTAGTATATATCAAGTAGGTTAAAGACAGATGATCATTATACAGTCAAACCTGTCTATAGCGACTGCCCAAGGGAAACACAAAAAGTGGTCTTGTAGACAGGTGGTTTTTGTAGACAGGTTCCTTTAGTATATGTTTCAATGAGAAACCATTTTCAAGGGAAACAAAAAAAGTGTTTGTTGTAGACAGGTGGTCACTAAAGCAGGTTTGACTGTATTTCATTTATGTTGTAGAAAGACTTGTATTAACAGAAGGCAGTGCTCAACACTAATAGGTGCCCAGGACACATGGGTCCAAATTTAACCTCAGGACCTTCAAATTTGTTACATTTTAACACGGGGCTAATGTACATGTATACAAATCTTAAAACCCTCAATCCGGAGCCCCCATTAAAAAAAGTTAGTGTGGAGCCCTGCAGAAAGTTATATAAACAGTTTATACTGAAAAACCAGAAACTTTCATGATCTTTGTGAAGTCTGGATTTGGGAAAGCCTCATGAAATGCTGCAAAATGATAGCTTTACAACATTTAATGCAGCTTTCTTGCAGCAAAAATGGCAAATTTGCAAAGTTCCTGTTTTTTTACAGTAAGGTGAAGAAGGCAGACTAAGCCCGTTATTGAGAAAAAGAAAAAAAGGAAGAAAAATAACTTTTAAACTTATTATTATTCTTATGTCTGTTAGGAGCAAGAAGGGCTTTAACTCATATACTTAAACAGAGAGCTAGCTAGCAGTAGCACCTTCTGGCTCTAAACAGACGCATATACTACATGTATTCCATTGAGATGGATGTAGAATGGGTCAGTTGGATAATGAATGATACACAAAATCATGAGGGAAACCTAAATGTTTGTGAATCTCACCTTTGAATATAGGACTGATATTCCATGCTGTTATACCGCCTTGGTTGGTGTACTGACCAAGACCAATCTCAAGGATCAGGAGAGGTATCCCTCCAATAAACAGACAAATAAAATACGGGATCAGGAAAGCACCTGCACAAGAGAGAGAGAGAGACAAAAGAAAGAAAGAAGAAACAGATCAATAACATTTCATTTCATTATCAAAGTATTCAGACACAAGCGTGGTGAAATATGAGAAATAAGCTTGAGATTGATTTCAATGGCTGAATTACAGATTGATAGGTTTTGAATACGCCTCTAATCAACCTGTTTGGGATCAGTGGTCTTTCAGCATGGCTTGGTGTGGTGTCATGCTCCGGTACTCTCTGTGTCGTTTAAGCAGGATTCATATGAATATGAAACTATTCTTTTATTTGTTATATATATACATATATATATATATATATATATATATATATAAATTTTTTTTTTTTTTTTTTTTTTTTTTTTGCTCTAGTGATCCCCTCCTAACAAGCCCTTTAGGATTTTGTCGGGTCACCGTTTTCTTTCAGTTCTTTGTATTTATTTGTATTACTAGCTCATATGTATGTATTATATTGATTTCTAAGCATACTTTTTCATGTTATATTGTAAAACAGCATTTGAGGGGCTAACACTTCAACAAGCTCTGCTTCTAGTTAGTTCCTCTTTTCTCGTGCTTTTTCTATTATATTTGTTGTTTCATTGCATATTTTTGTAGTACAATTATTCATTATGTTTTGCATGAGAAATAAAATCATTTGAATTATTTAGGATGATCTTTGCATAGGCCAAAGTGTTTAAATTCACAATCTGGAAGAAAGTGATATTCCAACAAGAGGTCATGGCAGGATGCAACATCCCCTTGAGCCTATAAAAACAGCCAGGCCTCTCATAGCAGTCGATATATCTATACTATTGCTTATAAGCTTTTCGTTGATAATTCATCTATTTCATTTCTCACTTCGGATAGGGTCTTTAAGTATTAACCTAGTGTTTTCTTTGTGCTAGCTGTCTCCAATAATCTAAGGGGATGATCAAAGCAACTGGAGCCAAATTAAAATTCAACATGTAGTGCCACCATTCAAGTTTTTTGTTCCTTCTATTGCCTATTCACACCTAATCAAATTTATATTTAGGATTAAGTAAAAAGAGAGCTGTTGAAACTGTCCCACCAAATCAGACTTGACTGTCATCTGTGTGTTATAAAACGCAGTTTTGCCAACTCCCTAGACAAACAATTTTGAAAGTTGTGTGTTCTTGTTAAGACATTCAACAAATATTGTCGAGTATGATAAAAGGCTTTTCTGCTTTTCTGCATTCAGAACTGTTTCATGACTACACAGTGTCTGTATTTATAAGCAAAGACTTTCTATTTGTTTCAGATTGATTCTACAATGAAAATTTGATTGATAGAAGTAACCCCTCCCTCTCCATCAAACCTACAGGTATACAAAACTTTAAAAGTCTACCTTTAAATTATCTTCCAATAAATTTGATGTCATTTTTTTTTTAATATTTGAAAGTAACATCAATTAATTTCCCATTTCGAATGCCTCTGACACAAAGTTTGCATTATGAAAAAAATAAATGTCAGTGCTTTCACTGTAATATCAGACACATACATGTATTACTACTTATTCTGATATTCTTTTACATGCTGTTACTAATTTCCCTGAAAGTTTGCATTATGTTCCAAAAACAATTGTAATGCTAAATACAAAAACAAATTTGCAATGCCCTCTAACACTGAAAAGATCTAATTCCCTTGAAAGTTTGCATTATTTTCCAAAAAACAATTGTAAAGTTAAATACAAAAACAGATTTGCAGTGCCCTTTAACACTGAAAAGATTTTGACTTAAATTTGTCTAATTCATCCCTATATGTTGATAATTCTACAAGGACTCGTGGAAATCTGTTATGAAATGATCAAAGTGATCGCAACCAGATATCTTGAGCTAGTATACAGCTGACAGGATGCACACAAGTCAAATCTAATTAGTCGAACATATAACATTGCATTTGCAACAAGTTTGTAGTAAATGATCGTACTCTCAAAGTTTAAACCTCCTAATGTATCAGCTTATAAATGGAAAAGTTGATAATAACAACTGTGGTAATGACAACTTAAGAAGTAGATGGACTGATTGACATAGTTGGGAATTCGAAGGAAGTCACAATTATTTCCACTCCAAAAGTTCTGTCGATCTGTCACCTTACTTGACAAGTCATTTCCTACAGCTGGGTACTAGCTAGAGGAAGATAAATAAACCTTTGCCCACAATAGTTGGGCCAGTGAAGTCTGATATTAAAACCCTTAAAATTTTTGTGAGATTTTTTTCTCCATAAGTAGAGTACATTGATTCACAGATAAGAGGTGAGCATGGATCATTCGTACATTCCCTCATCCTGACTGTGATCTAAATTAGCAAGTTGTATTTTCTCCTTTTGCAATTGCCTTTTTGGAAATTTCTATAACTACATCATAAATGGTTACTCTTAACTCGTTTTCCAGAAGTAAGCATTCTATGAAGATAAAACATTCAAATGCCATGGTATCATAAATAATATTTTCCCCCTTCTGTTTCTGTTAGGCCTAGATGAAATTGGAGTCAGGATTTGTATTTTATTTCATGTGTGATGTATCTTTATAGTTTCACTTTCAAATGTTCAGCAGTATTTTTATAGCAGTAACCTATGATGTGACATTTATGGATCTCTTGCACAACATTCCCCCAGCAATACAATCCAAGAGGAGTTTTTTTAACAAGATGATTTTTTTTTAAAACCCTTTAAACCCAGACATGTATACGGAGGTCATAACTCATGGTTAGACCTGCATTCATAATGTCACCAACAATTTTAGTTACTAAAAAAAACTTGGCTTATTGGGTGAGGATTGAACAAAGTGTTTATACATGGTGTTAGAGGTCATGAAGTGGGGTTGGAGTGAGGGGGAAATAAAGTTTATAGGTTAAATGTTAGAGTTGCAGTGTGCATGATCTCAGATGCATTGAAGCTTTAAAATACTACTGGGCCAGAAGGGATTAGACCACACAGCGAGGTCACTGACTGGTGGCTATTTCATTAACTCAGCTTTCAACTAACATAAGAAAAAGAGGATCATGGGGGACCAACAGGCACCGATTGGGGAAGTTTTCTATATAGAGGCAGCAAGTAGCTACAAGTAGGACAGTGGGGCTTTAAGTGTGTGAATTAAAATATTTATGTACAAAATCAATTGGAAGGTTTTAGGGATTACAGTCATGATAGAAACATATATGCCTAAATGTATGTAAATTCAATAGTAGACTAAGTGATCCAGAAAAGAAATGTCATCCATGAATTTTTAATTCTTCAAGATAAAAAATTGGCCCTTGGCCATAGGGCTTAGGTTTAAGTTAACTCGACTCTCGATTCTATTAACAAGGCCCAAAATGAGAACTGTTTCTAAAGACTTGTCTAAAGTTAAAGTTAAATAGAACTTAGGCCAGGCCAGGGGATAAGACAGTTGATAACACTAGACATAGGGTCATATAGCTACTACTATCACTATTAGCATAATTAGGACTTAGACTAAAGAAATAAACTTACCTCCTCCATTTTTATAGCAGAGATATGGAAATCTCCAGACGTTTCCTAATCCGACAGAGAAACCAATAAGAGCGAGCACAAAATCCAGTTTCCCAGTCCAAGTGCCTCTGCTTTTCAGCTGCTCCGAGTCTTCCCCTTTGGTCTTGACTGCATCCCCGTTGGCTCCCGGGTCTTGTTTCTGCGGCGGAGAAACAATGCATTCATCACTTTTATCGTGGTTACTACTCATCTTCGACTTCCACACACGTGATTACTAAGTTTACAAGGAATAAGTCAGTTGATGAAGCGAAGCGAAGAGAACCCTGCGATCATTTGGCTTCAAATAAAAGTAATACAAAAAGATATCCAGAAAGTTAACATTCAACATTCAAGCTGGACGGTTCCACTTCAGAATCACCACCGGCGGGGTCTCTAGCTCATGGCTCCCAAATAAAAACTTATGTGAACTCCGAAATATTATGAGACGCCGAATCGAATTAAACAGGATAGACGCCTACTGTATACTGGACGAAGACTAGACATCGACGACTAGACTACACACGAGCCAGCAACTAGTTGCACGTAATTACAAGTTACGTGACTGCAGGATGATCTCTAGCTCTAGTCAGGCTAGGGAGGTGAGACTTTAAACCCTGCTCTAGTCTAGCTAGCTCTGTCTGAAAGCAATTCGGTTTACATACCCAACCGACTAAAACCTGCCCTATCGGTACAATCATGGACCCTACTACGAATAGATCGGCGTTCCATGCGCCAATATCAAACTTTTGCATGATCAGGCCACGCCCATGTTCATGCGATATGCGCATGCAGAGCGACGAAATTCATATCTTTCTAATAGAGTAATAGGCCATTTTCGTATACGTAACCAAATTTGAATGCATAAGTCCATGGGTGTCGATCCCGGGGGGGGGGGGGGGATATATTCCCCCCCCCCCCAATATTTCAGGTGGGGGGATGTCCTGTACAATCATCCCCCCCCCCCCAATAATTCACCCTAAAAAAAAATTAAAAAATAAGAGAAAAATCAATGATGAGAGCCTGATGAGAGTATTTAATGGTTATTACTCGCAAGATGACCATCAATATACACATTTTGCTATCTCCTTTTCATAATACATACATATACGAAGTAAATGAGACATCCGTATATGAGACAAGAATAAATTGAATTCTCGATCATACGGCTTCATCAGGAATTGATGAATTAATTCAATTTGTTAAATCGACAGCATCATAGAAATGCAGTGCGCCAAATGCAAAGACGCAGCGTTAAAAAGCAACGAGCTAAATGTTAAGCGCGAAGCGCAAAAGTAGCAATCTGCAACATCAGACCATCCTGGACAATGTAAACATAGATGAACTCTGCGACGAATTCGTGATGAGATCGGAGACAAGGAGAAAGATTTTCGGACATTAGTATGACTCATAAGATAGTTCACTAGTTGTTATGTTGTTGGGGGAAACTGAATTCAGACTAGGATTAAGAGTTATAATTAAATGAAACGTCAAAGTACACGATACAACGTATCATCTTCTCTTTCTAATAATTTAGTGAAACGTGAAAGCTTCCGCGCTACGCGCGGGATGAGCGAAAATGATTTCGGACGAAGATTAAGAGTAATAATCAAATGAAACTTCAAAGCTTTCGCGCTTCGCGCTGGAGGGGGAAAACTGAATTCAGACAAGAAAACGATACAACAAATCGCCTTCCTTCTCTAATAATTTAATGAAAAGGTAAAGCTTCCGCGCTTGGCGCTGGATGGGCGAAAATGAATACAGAAAAGGATTAAGAGTAATAATTCATTGAAACGTCAAAGCTTCCGCGCTTCGCGCGGGAGGGCGGGGACGAATTGCACTCAGACAAGGACACGGTACAACGAATCGTCTTCTTTCTCTAATAATTTAATGAAACGTCAAAGCTTACGCGCTTCGCGCGAGACGGGGAAACTGCATTCAGACAAGGATTAAGAGTCGAGAATGGCACATCGGAATCGTCTTCTTTCTTTAATAATCTAATGTAACGTCAGAGCTTCCGCGCTACGCGCGGAGAAGGGGGACTTGGTTTAAACATTAAGGATTATGAGTCGAGCAACACTTAATTATGCAGTTGCATTGTGACTATTGAAATGCTATTATTCCTATCAGGTGAATGTAATAACTTGTATTGAGGCACTTCACAAACACTTATGCATTCAATTTGGTTACATTACGAAAATGGCCTATTGGGGTGCATCCAGTGACGGTATTTGACAGAGAATGCTGCTATTGTAGTAGAATAATTTGCATTGTACCTTTATGTCTACCTGATTATTCAATACGAAAGGGGCGTATATTTGCAAATTGTATTCGTCTTATCCACCAAACCGCTAATGCAAATAATATGCCTTATTCAAAGTATAGGCCTAATATTGGAACAAGATATCTAGAGTTCTAGACCATGCTTGTATAGTATTGTGGTGCCTTGATGATTAATAGTCTTGTCCTTTCCCCACGCTTTGGCCTTGGCGTTTGTCTTGGATGCCTTGGCTTTGCATCAATAATTTCCTTACGTTTGGGAGTTAATAGTTCAGTTGCTTTGTTCGTTAAAAAAATCAGATAAGAAGAAAGTTATGAATATGTGTAATCAATGAAACACAAATTGACAACTCAGTGATACATCTTTCTCTGTCCTCTTCCATGGGCTTTGTAAAGAGAATTTCATTTTCTTAGTTTAAAAATGAAGGAATGAAATTGAGTCACATAGGAGTTGGAGTAAGTACATCTGCATGCAGTAATGATATCAAGGATGCATGTTTTATTTAATACAGTAGGCTTGCGGGTGCACCATGTGAGAGAGAGAGAGCGAGAGAGAGGGAATTGAGGAGTCCTGAAAAGGACTCTGACTCGGTAATCTTTCTTGGGGGTGTGTAGTCCTGATTATTATAGTTGAACATTTTCTATACAGAAAATACAATTTTGTTTCTCACTGTTTAGAAAGGAGCAAATGGGAGAGAACCTCGCAAACTATACGTCACAGAGTTGCCATTGTTTACTTTCACCGATCCGCTTCTTTGCTTTTCTGTTTCTATTAATACCACGTTATCAGGGTGGACTTTCCCTTTTAAATGTATGAAATCTGAATTAACAGCTGACCACCAACCCTCAAACAAAAGTTATTAAAATTTATGATTTCGTAAATGTTGTCACTAATTAGCAGCAGAACAAGCGAGGGCTGATGTGCCCCTCTTGAAAGAAAATTGCCATATTTTCATGCCCTTACGTTATACATGCACCCATTCATGACAAAAACATGCGCCCTTATACTTTAGAACATGGGTATACTATAGGCTATCAGGCCTACATCAGATTTTATTTGCTTTTTATTATCACTTAAGTTCTTGTTCAAGCCAAATACAGCTTTTGGACATACATGATGCTAAATGCCTTTCTTTATTAAAAAAAAATGTATATATATATATATATATATCTAGAGCATCTTCCGCATGGCCTGCTAAGATCTGTTTAAAAAAAGGCAAAGGCCTCTATCAATCCCTCATGGTTAATCATTGAAAACATGAGGTATAATACAAAAGGCACATAAGGAAATAACAGAACTAGTACATTTTCACCTCACGAGAGGCATTTACCCCTATCATGATGGGAGAGTCCAGTAACCAGGAGACTACGTTTAAAAAATGGCAAAACGTAAGTTAAGTCCTGAACCGACCGGTTGCTATGCAACCTTGCATAAGATATCGCTTACCCAACAAGAGGCATATCAAACATACTGAAGAATAAGACCAATGTGGGTTTGCGAGACACCTCTCTTCTTAAGACCATGATAAAATACAGTGCAAAGCATGCTAACAGGTTAGCCTAACCAAAGGCAATGCAAGCTCATACATAACCATCCTTTGTTAAAGATACATTATGTTATTTCGAGGTTTGATTTTGCATGCATATAAACTCAACCAAGAAAGTTCAGCGGACGTAATGGCCTATATAGCTGACCATATACAACATGTACACCAACCACCGGACTTCCCTTCTCAATTGATCTACTTTTTTTTCTTTAAAAAGCAAAAAATATTTGTTTGTTTTGTTGGCTAACTTGATGCCCACAATACCAGGCACGTATATTGTCTCATGCGTGTCGTTTCAATTATTGAGTCGTATATACTCCTATAAATCCAACTTCTGAAGTTTTAACTGAATCGTAATACAAGATATTAATAACCATACTAGCTAGAAGATTATAGCATGAAGTGCGCCACCTTCTCGACTTTTTTAGTCTCAGGAAAGGTACCCTCTCTTAAAATTAAGGACGATTAAAGTGACAAGTTGCCCCTCCATGATTGAAGAAAAGAAAACATACCATACATCGATCAACTTTGGACAGGTTTCTACTTTTCTGCATTCTTTTCTTAAAACATACTTTTACAGGGGAAATGTGGCAATTCCTCTTTTCCTTACGACAAGGCCATTTTCATATTTGCCAAAATGTTCTCGACAATAGCAGGAATCTATTTTTTCTTGGATTGACGAGAGAAAAAATTAACGCAGTCGATTGGAGGGCTGAAGGCACATCTAAACCACCCCAATAAACTACAAATTCATTTATCTGTGGTAATGTGATTTTGTTTTTCCCCATGTAGACGAAGGCATCTACAAGTTTCCTATTACCTCTCTTCGAAATGGCTTTAAAAAATTATTAAAACAAATTGTAGGTTAATGGATTATCCAAGCCGTCCATGTCTTCTTTATCACACTAGTGAGATTAGCGGGTAGTAGAAACCACATTACAGATTCAGACGTGACAGTTATATGTTTTCTGAACAAGAACATACTGTTGTTCTCTGTAAGATCATAAAAATGATCAGATCGCCCATAAAATCAGGAGAAAATGAAATAAAGTGCACATAATAATATATCAAATAGGGACTAGTTTGTTTTTATTATTATCACTGATGAAATACAAAAATATGCTATACAATAAATAACACAATAAACAAAAATTAATAGCCCGACTCAAATTTCGTAGAGTAATGCTCCTTCGCTCTAATTTCTGTTACAAATTGTCCATCAATGATATTTATCCGGTGCATATCGATGACTGGATGACTGGATGATGATGATGATGATGATGATGATGATGATGATGATGATGATGATGATAAAGATGATGATGATGATGATGAA